CCTTCCTTCCCTTCCTTTTTCTTTCTTCTTCCTTCCTTCTTTCTCTTCTTTCTTTCTCTCCCTTCTCTTCCTTCCTTCTTTTTCCTTCTTTCTCTTCCTTCTTTCTCTTCTTTCTTTCTCTCCCTTCTTCTCTTCCTTCCTTCTTTTTCCTTCTTTCTCTTCCTTCTTTCTCTTCTTCCTTCCTTCCTTCTCTTTCTTTATTTCTCCTTTCTTTTCATTATCCCTTCTTTCCCTTCTCTCTCTCTCTTTCGAGTCTTGCCTAGGAAATGGAACGCCGCAGATTGGAGCGCTTGACGATCCAGGCTGACATCCGGAACATCAACGACGAAAACCAGAGGCGCAAAGAGGAGAAGCTTTACCAGGAGAAGATGTCCGACATGCGGGTGTTGGAGTACCAGAGGCAGAAAATGGTACGGTGTGGGACGCAGAAAGCCGAGGGGCTAAAAGGGGGCCTCATTGTGAGGAAAGCTCCACGGGGCCTTTTCTGGAGTGGCAGAATTCCCTTCCCACAAAGCGCGACGGTTGGTCCTTCCCCCTCCTCCCCCCCCCCTGAAGGTTCCGAGGTGGGGGGAAAAAATCTCGCGGGGTTTTCTTCCGCTCGAGCAGCGGGTTGGACTAGAAGACCTCCAAGGACCCTTCCAAGTCGGTGGTTCGTTTTCTTCCTGAAACGCAGGCACGGGAAGCCGAATTTGAGGCCGAGCAGGAGAAGATCCGTAAGGAGAAGGAAATGGAGACGGCGCGTCTGCGCGCTCTACAAGAAAAAGCCCAGGATCACCAAGCAGAACAGGTGCGGCCTGGTTATTGCGGGGGTCTTCTGCCTCAATTCCCCCTCCAGCCAAAAGGGGGCCATGAAACCTTGTGGGCCAGTCAGATCTGCTCCATGGCTCCAAAGAATGTCTCTGAAGGCACTTGACATATAACCCAGTTTTCATTCAGTCCAATGATTTGTTAAAATCCAATCATTTTGGCCAGAGAGTGGCTAAATAAATAAATAGAGGCAATTTAGTGATTGGTTTGAAGTTACGACAGTCCTCAAAAAAAGGGACTTACGGGCGTTGGTCACACTTACGACTCCACAGCCACGCGATCCAAATTCAGCCGCTTGGCCGCTGACCCATATTTATGACGGTTGCAGCATCCCAGGGGTTACGTCATTCCCCCTTTTGTGACTGTCTAAGCCAGTGGTCTCCAACCTTGGCAACTTTAAGACCTGTGGACTTCAACTCCCAGANAGCAGCTAATCCAGCCTGACCTCAGCAACTCTTGCCTTTTTCCTTTTACATTTTTACATTTTCATGATGGCAGGCAAAAGCAGAGTTGAAATCCACTGTGATTGTGAAACAGCTGGAAAAGGTATGTGGGTCGGAGGGAGGGGGAGGAATTCAAAATTAATGTGCATCTGTCCCAAGCCCGGCCATTCTCTCTGGCTCCTCTGCAGAGTGGTGGCCGGTTAGCGGCTCTGCTGGCGGAGTGTCCGGCCATGCCTGGCTTTTGCTTCCCACCCGGAGGGAGGATGGCCGGCCTGATAGGCAGCCTCTTGGGCTCTCAACTCGTGGCTCGGTTCCAGCGCCGCCATGGGCTCTTCCCGCGAGACAAGAAGAACCACCGAGCTCAGGTTTTTGGCCGCCCCGCTACTATGTCCGATATAGAGGCATCCCACATGCCAACGCTTCCTGCTCGGTCGCCTTCTGATCACTGACCTAGTTTCCCCCCCAAGTCTCACTGGGCGAGAAGGTTACAGAGTATACATCTAGGACAGGAGAAGGAGGCGGTCTGGGTTCGAGGCTGCAAATTGAGGTACGGCTCCTCTCGCATCCTGCCCCATTGAATGCGGTATCTTCCAGCCGTCCCCGGGGCTGCCGTTGCGGGTGGCACAGTCGGCCGGCAGACCGAAGCCCGGGCGCTGCCCGTTGCAGACATCCCGCAGAGTCGGGGGCTGGCTGCCGTTCCCCACCGTTTGAGTTCGGTGGTTCTTCTCGCCTCACGGGAAGAGCCCGCAGCGGCGCTGGAACCGAGCCGCGAGTTGAGAGCCCAAGAGGCTGCCTAACAGGCCGGCCATCCTCCCTCCAGGTGGGAAGCAAAAGTCAGGCACGGCGGGATGCTCCGCCGGCAGAGCCGCCAACCGGCCACCGCTCTGCAGAGGAGCCGGAGAGAAGGGCCGGACTTGGGACAGGTGCAGCCGCGGGACGCCTCTATGTCGGACATAGCAGCGGGGCGGCCAAAAGCCGCTTTCTTTCTTTTTGCCTCACCAGCCATAAACCTCACCGCACGTCACTGCATCCATCCCTCTCAAAGCCCTTCTTTTGAGTGAGTTTTTATTTTTATTTTCCCAGTCTTTTTTTTCCCCCTGCACCCATTTCGGTGCATCTTTTAACACCTCTTATCTGACTTCATTGTCGATCTTATCTATTGCAATGCTGGCTAGAAGTATTTCCATGGAACAGGGCAGGTCTTCCCACCTGAAAGGAAGCCGGAGGCGTTTTTCCTGGTTCCAGGCCGAGTCGAAACCGAGTCGAGGGGGGGGAACGCATCCAAACGGCTTCCTCGTTTTCTCACCCCCACCCTCCCAGGTGGCTGCGAACGAGCGCAAGAAATCCATGAAGCTCAAGGAGATCCTACGGAAGAAAAACGAGAAGCTCAACGACCTGGAAGAGGAAGCCAAGGAGCGGGCCCAGTACCTCTTGGAACGAGCAAATAACCTTCGGATGGAACAGGAGGACGAGGTCAAAACCCTCGCCGAGGTGGGCTGAAGGAGCTAAAAACCTTACGTCAGGGTTCCAAGTAACACATTCCCCCCTCCCAATGAAAGAAGACTCCCAGGATTAAGTTTCCTCAAAGTTCCATTTTATTAGAGATGTCCACATTGGCACATCTGGGAAAACCCAAATCTGACAGCTTCCAGGTTTTCCCCACTCAAAAGAAACTTCAAGTCCCTGCCCGGCACCCACATGTCCATCCCATAGCCCAACCAGACACCATCCAAAACTGGAGATGCCTCCCAGTCACACCACTCAAGGAGCAGGGCAAGACGTCCTTGACTCTCTGAGAAAGGAATGTTATTTTGGCTATGTATCACCCATACGCCGTGTAATTCTCCACAGCATTGAACGTGGCAGGCCTGGAAGCCCAAAGGGTAAAAGATGGCTTCTAGGCACTACCGTAGTATCTCCACAGTGCTGTACAGTAGAAGCCATTTTGCGGCAGTACAGTAGAAGCCATTTTAAGGCACANCTGAGGAGAAATTTCCTAAAAGTTAGAACAATTAATCAGTGGAACAGAAGTTGCCTCCAGAAGTTGTGAATGCCCCAACACTGGAAGTCTTTAAGAAGAAGTTGGATAGCCATTTGTCTGAAGTGGTGTAGGGGTTTCCTGCCTAGGCAGGGGGTTGGACTAGAAGACCTCCAAGGTCCCTTCCAACTCTTGTCTTTCTGCTATTCTCTGCCCCTCCAGCACGCCCTGAGGGCCAAGCGCAACCAGGAGGCCAACGAGCGCGAATGGCGGCGGAAGGAGAAGGACGCCGTGCAGAAGAAGCTGCAGACGGAAGCCATGTTGAAACAGAGTCGGCTGGAGCAGGTGGCACAGAAGGAGCACAACTTGGCCATCCAGGTGCAGCGCGACCGCGCTGAGTTCGAAAGGATCGTCAGGTGAGGGCCACGGGGTCGCCTTCCTGTAAATTTTTCCCCATTGGTCCTGGTGGGCATAAACCCTGAGGAGGGGGAGAAGGATCGGCCCAGCATCAGGGTTTCTCAACCTTCGTAACTTTAAAAAGTGTGGACTTCAACTCCCAGAATTCCCCCAGGCAGCCATGCTAGCTGGGGAATTCTGGGACTAGGAAATCCACACATCTTAAAGCTGTTAAGGTTGAGAAACAGGATACTAGACACATTTTAAGAAGGGTGGACTTCAACTCACGTGCTTGGCTGGGGAATTCTGAGAGTTGAAGTCCGCACACCTTAAAATTTTGATAAACGCCAACCTAGGCAGAGGACAAACGGGAATTTTGCATCCATCTTCCTCTGCCCTAAAGCAAACTTAACTGCTCAAGGTACGGAACCCCAGCAGAACCATCCTTTTTATTTTTTTAAAAAGCCGAAGATATGAATTTATATGCGCTTTAATTTGGGGCTAAATCCAATGAGCTGCAGTTCTCCTTTCCCGGAAGAAAATTTACCCTATGCCAGGGATGGTGACACCTTTTTGGCATAGAGTGCCCGAAGTGGAATGCACATGCACACCAGAGGGCCAGAAACCCAAAGACCAGCTGGCTGGCATGTGCATGCCTGTTTTTTTGGCTGGTTTTGGACGTTGTCAGGCTGGTTTTTTGGGTCGTTTTTGTGTCAAAAAGAAAACAAAAAAGCTTGAAAACAGCCTGAAAATAGCCCGGAAAATGGCCTGAAAACAGTCTAAAAACAACCTGAAAATGGCATGAAAAACAGCTTGAAAATGGCTCCAAAAGCAGCCAGAAAATGCCCCAAAAATGGCCTGAAAATGGCACAAAAATGGCCTGAAAAACAGTCTAAAAATCGCCTGAAAACTGCCCCAAAACAGCCTGAAAATGACCCCAAAATAGCCTGAAAAATAGCCTAAAAGAGGCCTGAAAACTGCCCAGAAAACAGCCTGGAAAAGGCCCCCCCAAATGGTCTGAAAAACAGCGTGAAAACAGCCCGAAAAACAGCCTTAAAATAGCCCCAAAACCAGCCTGAAAACAGCCAAAACACAGCCTGAAAATGATCCCAAAAAAGCTTGAAAATGGCCCCAAAAGCAGCCAGAAAATGGCCCAAAAATGGACTGAAAAATGGCACGAAAACAGCCTGAACAACAGCCTTAAAATGTCCCCCAAATGGCGTGAAAAACAGCCTAAAAGCAGCCTGAAAACTACCAAAAAACCAGACTGAAAATGAGCCCCAAAATAGCCTGAAAAACAGTGTGAAAACAGCCTGAAAACAGCCTGAAAAACAGTCTTAAAATGGCCCCCCCAAACAGCCTGAAAACGGCCCCAAAAACGGCCTGTTTTTTGGCCGTTTTCAAGCGCCTGTGAAGACCAGCGCATGCCGGAAACCAGAGGAGCAACCAGTGACGATGCCCGAGCTGATAGAGAAGGCTCTGTGTGTCACCTCTGGTACGTCTGGCCACGGGTTCTCCATCACAGCCCTATGCAAATGTTTGGTTCCACCCATTGGAATCACTCGGGAAGAGGGCGAATTATAGTTATCACACATTGGTTTCGGATTGGGAGGGGGGGGATTCACTTAAAAACGATCGTCAAACCAGGTAGACTGGCAAGAGTCATCGGATGACAAGGTGTCTAATCAACGGGGTTGAATAAGATTGATGTTTTGCCTCATAACAAGGACGACAAAGTTGTGAAAGGAAGCTCATAGATCCTTCCAGGGCTTTGAGTTCAACCCGCCAGGGCAGGGGCGGGGGGAGAGAGATAGGGAAGATCTCCCTGTATGAGAAATTTGGAGTTTTCATCGTCAGAGACGAAGCGCTGTACGTCTTCTGAAGCTGTGAGGACGGCTGAACCACATCCCGTTTGTCCAGAAGGGTTTATCCCGTTCGAGCTCGGGGCTGGACTAGAAGACCTCGGAGGTCCCTCTCTGTTATTCTGCTGCTCCTTTAAGTTGGCTTCTAAAGTGTGCTGGGTGCACATCCATCCGCCAAGGATATGCTCTGTCTGTCTCCCCCCCCCCCCCAAAAAAAAACCACTTGAGTTTAATGACGCCTGAAAGTTACAACGGCACTGGAAAAAGTGACTATATGACCATTTTTCACCCTTAACGACCGTTGCAGCCTCCCTGTGGTCGGTCACATGATCAAAATTCAGATACTTGACTCGCGACGGTTGCAATGTCCCGGGGTCACATGATTGCCTTTTGCGACCAACGGACAAGCCGAGTCAGTGGGGAAGCCAGATTGACTTAACAGCCGTGTGAATAACTTCCCCACCGCAGTGATTCACTTAACAGCCGTGGGCAGAAAGGTTGTAAAATGGGACAAAACCCTCTCCACTCGCATAGTAGCAGTCACCGTAGTGGCCGTATGTTGAGGATCTCCCCTGGGGAGACCATCTCTAAAAGTCCTCGCTTGCTGCCAGGCTGACCTCCAGTCCCTGCCGCCTTCTCTCCCCCCTTTCCCCCCACCAGGATCCAGCGGGAGCAGATCGAGAAGGAGCGAAAGGAACACGAGCGCCGGCTGGCCCTCCAGATGACGCACGCGGATGAGCTCCGGCGCCAGGTGCGGGAACACCAGCAGCAGCAGGTCCAGGAGCGCATCGCCATCTTCGAAGAGGGCAAGCGCCTCAAGGAGGAAGCCCGCCGGCGCAGCGATCGCCTGAACGAGATCAAGAGAAGGAAGTTGGATGAGCTGCGGTAAGCGGCCGACTCCCGGAGTCCATGGGAAAGTTCAGGTTTAAACACAGTGGGAAAGGGTCCTTGTAGGTCATCTAGTCCAACCCCCTGCCCAGGCAGACCCTGGCCAATTGGCGGCTGCTACTTAACAATGGCGTCTCTCTGGTATGTGGACTTTTTATTGGGTCCATCATACATTTCGACAGTCACTAAGCGGCCAGCCTTAAGTCGAGGGCTGCCTGCATGTTGTCCCTCCATGAGGACTAGGCCCTTGTTTCAACCATTGGTGAAATTTCTCCGTGTTCTTTTCTCTCTGTCTGCAGGGCTGCCGGGCTCCCTGAGAAATACTGTGTGCAGGTGGAACGTAAAGCTTTCGTTCAGTCCGTCCACTGAGCCGCAGGGGTGTTTTTTAACTAGTTAAACTCTCAATGTGTAGCCTAGATTTTTATTTTCTTATCCTTACTTGAATAGATCTATTTCTGGATGGATCGGTGTGGAATTCATTCTTTCGTTCTTCCCAAAAGTTTAAGATACACAGAAATGCCAAGTGGTGTTTTTTTTAAATTTATTCCTTATTTTTTATTTATTTTATTTTATCTTATTATTTTATTCATTTTAGTTTATCTTATTATTTTATTTATTTATTTNAGAATACAAATACTTTTATTTCCACTTGGAAACCACTTATGAACTTTGTGCTTGAGGTGGGGGGGAAATGAAACTCTGACTCTGAGTTTTACCGATTAGAAAGATATGTTGTTGTAGAAATGGCTACTTTATACTAGTATGTAAAAGTCAAAAGTTGGGGTTTGAGGCTAATGCCTTATTCTACTGTACCGAAGGGAGTTGGAAATCAATGCCTTTCCCACCCCACCCCCTTTTCTTTCCCCCACTTCTCCCTTCCTCTGAACTCCCTAAAAGAGTGCAAATGATCATCTGTCTGCAAGGAATATAAATCCTCCCATTCCCCACCATCCAGTCAGAGCTGAAGAAGCTTCTTGGATGAGAAGGGAAATGTCTTCATTTTGTCGCCTCTTGAATAAAAAAAACACCTTTGGGACAACCATGACCTGGATGACTGAGAATCATAGACATTTAGCCAGCCCCAATTATGCGTGTCTCGTCTGAGGTCATCTGAGATATCCCACCGCATACCATGAAACTGGGAAACGATGGGAGGGGTATCTTCATCGAGGTCGTCGACTCCCCCCGCGATTGGGTAGGGTGGGATGGACACTCGCGGCATGACCACCCAACTGTGATCTGAATAGAGGGAGGAGGTCAGGCTTGGCAGCCCTGAGTTATAGGCTATCTGGAAGCCGCAGATCTTCTCAATCTGCTGCCATCGGTAGAGTCGCTCCCTCAGGCAGGTAGTTAATTCAGAAAGTGCTTTCCTAGGAAGAAGGCAAGGGATTAAATCAAGCTATGTCACACACCCACAACAATGCAGATTGTCCTCGACATACAACCGTTCATTCAGTGACCATTTGGGGGGGAAAAGAGACACTTATGACCGTTGCAACATCCCCGTGATTTACATTCATAAGTTTGATAACTGAAGTGAGACAAGGACTGATCAGCAGGAAGCTGGGGTCATCCTACAGACAATCCTAGCCTTTCCTCAAGCATCCCCACCTTGAAGGACTTCGTTCAAGTTACGTTGAGCTTTTAATTTAAAATGTGTGAACCCCAGCAGTGGGGTTCACTTAGTTTACCACCAGTTCGCAACTGCGAGTGTGCACGTGCGGTCGCGTCGCCTGCGTGCCGCCTGCACGCTGCCTGCGATTGTGTTTTGCTTCTGTACGCGGCGTGCCCGCGTGCGCATGGCGTTGAAAATGATGCTACATAGGACGTTTTGGAGCCAGGGTGTGTGGCCAGGCCCACCCGCAGACGAACCAATCCGAACTGACTGAACACAACCTCTGCTGTGAGCCTCATTTAAACAACAGCCACAACAACAACAACAACAACAAGGTTTCTGTAACCAATAGAAAGGGCATTATGCCTACTATATGTCTTACTTTGCTTCCAGAATCTTGTGGTCCACTTCATCAAGTGAAGAGCTGTGTGCAACGTGTAACGTCCCAAATACAGTATTTCTCTTCTTTTTAATTTTCTCTGCCTGAAATGAAACATTGCAGGGATTTAAGGCTTGTTTCAGCCGTGCGAAAGGGGGGGAGACGAATTTCTCCTCTCTTGNTTCTAATGCTGCATTTAGGCCAGTGTTTCTCAACCTTGTCAACTTGAAGATGTCCGGACTTCAACTCCCAGAATTCCCCAGCCAGCATTTGCATTTGCTGGCTGGGGGATTCTGGGAGTTGAAGTCCAGACATCTTCAAGTGGCCAAGGTTGAGAAACACTGTCCTAGACACTTCCCCATCTTCAAGTTGACATGGTTGAGAAACACTGATTTAGGCTGCGGAGAACAGGACTTCAACTGCACCAAGCCAGCCTCGACTTCAGGCAGCTGTCCCAGATTGAGACCCCCAACATCTGTCCGTTCCCCCCCCCCTGACCTCCAACGCTTAAAAGACCCTTTAAACGTTGCGTTGTGGATCACGGCTAACCTCTTAGCATTAAAAGCGAAAACCCCTGAAGACCATGAAACCTTCAGAGAGAGGCGAACGCTTCCCGGTCCGAAAGAAACAAAAAAAGGCACAGAAAAAGTTGGTTATAAAGAAACTTGAGGTTTTTTGTTTTTTTTTTTATAAATTATAAACCCATTCAGTTTATACAGCAGATTGTTAATAAGCAGTTTTTATCCTTTTAGGTTTCTGTTGGTGGTTGAGGTGTTTTACATTAAGTCACAAATTAAAAAAATACAGCAAATCAAAACAAGCGCCCCCAGCGATTAGAAATCGGCAGCCGGATACCTCTCTCCTTTTATAGCTCAAAAAAAAAAAGAGGCAAAACAAACCCCCGTGATTCAATTATCAGAATTTCAAATATAAATTCAATTTCTAAATAGTAAGAAAATGATTTTTAAAAAAAACATGATAAACCCTAAACTTCCAAAACTGGAAAGGTGATGAACACGGTTGACCGGATGTTCTTCTTCCTCGAAAGGAGTTTACAGAAAATACAACCCAAAGGTTTTCATTCCTAGAAGTTGCCACAGAAGGAGCCCTGAGTCAAGCATTATTCTCAAGCTTTTAGGTCTTTTTAAATATCCCGCCCCCCCTCAAGTACGTTGACCCACTTCCACAAGCCTTGGACAAAATCATCATGTCACAAATTCGGAAATTCCACACATTTTGTGCAAAAGGGAAAAACCACCAGCACTTTTTGTTTCTCTGCAACAAAAGGAAATCCTAAGAAAACAAAGCTCTGGTTAAAAGGTTTTAACAACAATTGAAACACACACACACAAGTAATTTGTGTAACTCTTTTGAGATTATGGCATCCCCTACTACTTGATCAAACCGGGAAAGCTTGGGAAACGTCGTTTAAAAAGGCGATCTCAAGAGTGAAGGATTTCTTAGAGGATGGCATGAACAGTCAATATTCTTTGGAATACTTTTCGGGTGGAAAAAAAAATGGTTTGGGGAGGGAAAAAACCTTAAAAACCCAAGAATTGTGAGCTGCTTGTTTCACAAGGCTATTTTAGCCACCATTACGTTTTCAAAACGGGCATTTTGAACCAAGCTGCCTACCAGAAAAAAACTATATGCAGAACTGACGGTGGAGATTCCCATCCTTCCTTAAAACCATCCTTTAAAAATCTTTTTAAGTTGCTTCTCAACAGAAGCTCCGAAACATCTTTCTAGAAATTATTGCATTGGAAAAAAATAATGCTTCTACATATTTCTTCCGCCCTTCTTTTTTCTCAAGACGATATAACAAGCCTGTAGGAGTCATGTTTTTGTACAGAAATCACCTCTGCTGCGTGGTATCTCTTGGCAGGATACGTCCACAGCAGGTTCAGGTAAAGCTCCGTATTTCTCACGGGACAGGTAGGGCTGCCTCTAGAACAGGTGAGAGACCCTCTCCGGGGGCAAGTGAGGGTGGGCATGGAGAAGACACCAACAAGCTGGATGTGCTGGCAGACAGCAATAAACCAGGCTGAACACCCACCAAAGCCGCTCCTTCGAAATCTGGATCCTGGCTAATGAGAAAGTAATCCATACGGTTGTGTTACTTACTTCGCTTACCTGACTGATGCTACCTGCTTATCTTCCTGGGCATAAAGGCTACCTTCAAGAGGCTTCCTTCCTTTCTATCTGGCAATTGATCATTGTTTAGGAAGAAACAGAAGCACATACCCTGGTTTTTTAGTCCTCACTGATTTTTTTAAAAAAATACAATGATAACCAAGCAATCCTCTGAAGTAACTCAGAAAACGGCATCTTAATGATCTCACAGAACAGTGAAACCTGCTAAGATGTGCACAGCCACAGGCCAATTTCTTGTCAGTAACCAAGACTGGAGTGCAAGTCCTTTTTTTTTCATCCAACAAGCTCTGAATGTCAAAATGCTGAAAAAAACCCCGTGGCTCAACAGGTATTTTGGAAGTCGCTCCCAAATTCTGTTCCGAATGCGAGGAGGGTGGGAGGATTTGAAAGCGGTTAAAGAGTTTCTTATCCTCCATTCTTGGGTCCCATCCAAAATCCACTTCGTACGCATCGGAAGGGATTCGGCAGGGCTTTGAAATGAAGAGAAATACGAAAAAAACTGGGGTTCAGCTCAACTAAGCCAGCCTGTTTTGACATGCAACTTTGAAAGTGGAAGAAACATCAAGGCACCACCGCACACAGCTTCACACTTTAAAATAACAACTGAGTCCCCTTCGGGGAAAAGGGCAGCATAGAAATATAAGAAATTCAATTCAATTAAGGTGGTGGTGTTGTTTTTTTGCTACCACTTACATCGATAATCTTCTACCTGATTCCTACGGAATTCTAGCTCCAGTTGCATTTCTAAACCCATTTTCTTGTAAACAACTGGAGGAGGAGGAGGAGGCTTTAACTGAGAGCACTGTTCTCCGACACCTACGAGAAAAGGAGGTTTGATGCTGGAACCGACGCTGGTCCTCTTTCCAACCAATTCGAACGGCTGAAAGGGAAGTTGCATACATAAAAAGGAGAATAAAAGATCCTATTGCAGCCTAGATCGTTCAACAGTCAGATTTGCTTGCCTGTGGCAGGAGGAGGAAGAGCCAAAGCAGTGCTTAGGACAGTGTTTCTCAACCTTGGCCTCTTGAAGATGTCCGGACTTCAACTCCCAGAATTCCCCAGCCAGCATT